ACCGGGGGTGCTGCGCTGGGTGCCGCGCTGGGGGCCGGGGGTGCTGCGGGCCTCCCGCCCCCGGAGCGCTGGGCGGGTGCTGGGAACAGCTCGGGGCGCGCAGGAACCGGCGCTGAGAGCGGGGCGGCCCCGGAGCGCAGAGAGGGTTTGAGCCCCTCGGAGCGATGCCCGCCCGGCCCCGGGTGCCCGAAACAACTCCCCCGTTTATGTCCAGAGGTGGCGTCCCTTGCGTTCACTTCAAAAAGGCAAACCAATGAATCCAATGAGCCGAAAGCTTAGCACGGCGCTACAGATCTTCGTGCGACTATTTTCATAAGGAGAAAGAACAACAGTAAAATAGTCCTTGAATTTATTAGGTGCAACAATTTTGTTCTCAAAGATAATCAGCTGATGCCACGAATTTTTCTGTTAAAGTGTGTTGTTTAAAGTGCTCTTAAAAATGAATTTTTGTATTGACAGTGAGGTAGCACGTTCATATTTGAAGAAGTTACTGACAAGTCTGGATTGTGTGGAGGTAGATTAGGGAAATCGGTATCTTTCTTGACAGAGAAAAACTTGAAAACTGTATCCCTCCCCATGCAACACAAGTGCTGTTCTGGTTACTGTCATTAAGACTTTCCCAGGCTTAGTCTGAAATACTCAAAAGATTCTTAAAGCATTTATTTCTAGATGAAGCTGCATGAAGTAATTTCCAAACTGAGCAGCACTACTTAAAACTGAAACAAGTGTTTTTGTCGTAAGTAATCTCTTGACCTAATGCTTATACAAAACATTTTCCATATATGACACTCACATAAAGTACATTTTAAAAATTTCACGTTTGGAAATTTGTTATAAGAGATGATCTCACTGACACTTTGCAGACAGATGACAAACCTGTGGTATCTGAATATATTTGAAAGGCTGATGCTGGATATCTTTAAAGGGGAAGTTTAGCATTCAGTATGATGCTAAAGAATTTAAGTGTCTGTAACAAGAACAAGTGCTGTTTATCTATGTCAGATGTTGATATTTATTTCTTGAAATAATAAAATTCTATGCCCAGTCAGAATGCTGAAATAATTGGCACTAAATAATAACCAATTATAAAAGACGTTTTTGTGAAGCTAGAGGCCAGTGTGCTGGCAAAGAGTGATCCCAGTGATTTTCAGCTCTATTAGCACTCCTGAGAACTGGAATGACAGACCTGAGGTTGTAGCTGTTTCATGGTCTGCACTGGCATCCAGAGATCCTCAATTCTGGAGGAGCAGTGCTGCAGAGGTTTCTGGTACCAGCATCTGCTACTTCTTGAGGGTGTGTAAAAAACAGCTTGTTTGTTTACAAAGTCAGGGCTGGTGCCTTTCAGGTGCATGGAATTATAGGTGGTTTGCACCAGTCACAAAGCAAAACCCTTCCTTCCCAAAACACCTGTGGAGATGTTAATGCAGTGTGGATGATCCCACAGAGCTTCTAATAGGAGAAGGAGAAGCAGAAACAAGGTACACAGGTGATTCCTAGGGTTGTGCCAGACCCCCTCTCCATGTACCTGGGAGTCAGCTGTGGCCAAACTAACGCCACTGCAGCCACATGGATTTTATTTTCTGCTTGCTTGTCCTTACCTTACCATTCCTATGCTTTCCTAGGTGGGAAAGTTGCTCTGTGTGCTACCTCTGCTTTGTTCTTGTGACAGTGGCAGGCACTGAATACACTTCACTAGATTTGATGACTTTACATTTCCTTTTTTTCTTTTGAGGAAAATCTCCATTATCTGGTAGTTTAGTGTGCAGGACTTGTAAGTATTTTTCAGTCTGCACAGTTATTCATCCTAAATTACTTTGTTTCTTGTTTTTGCTGCTGTATAGTCATAAAATCTTCCTGAATTTTTGCTGCTTGTTCCTCCATTCTACTGGTTAGAAAGTGCTTGCATGGCTGCCTGAGCAATTCTTGATTGATCCAATAGTTCCAAGGTCTTGTGATCATAAAGAAATGAAATGGATTTAGTCTAAGGAATTACAGCAATATTGAAGTCAGTCTGAGATTTATTTTGGCTTTTAAGTTGGTTTTGCTTTTAAATAACTTCCCCTCCCCCCTCTGTTTAGGAAGTGCAGAAGTTGAATCAGCAGCTAGAGGAGAAAAATGGAGAGATACAGCAGATGATAAATCAGCCTCCATATGAAAAAGAGAGAGAAATCTTACGACTGCAGAAGACCTTGGCAGAGAGGGAGAAGGCTCAGGCCACCAGTGATGTTTTGTGCCGTTCACTCACTGATGAAACTCACCAACTTCAACGCAAATTAGCATCCACAGCAGAAATGTGTCAACATCTGGCAAAATGTCTAGAAGAGAAGCAAAGAAAAGAGAAGGAGAATTCAGATGACCAGACACCTACAGAAAGATCTAATCAGGTATTCTTACAGCTTACTGTGTGTGTCTTTAAAGTCTTATTAGCTTCTGAGATGTTAATTACAATATGATAGCTGTAACTGGGGAATGGTGAGAAGCCCTTTAAATAATTTTATGCAGGGTGTTAAGACTGCCATGGCAATGATAAATGCTTCTGTGTATCTGAAATTTAGGATGGAAGCAGTTGCCTACCACTTCAACTTTGGCCATCTCATCTTCAGAGGCTTTTTTGGAGAGAAGTACTTGAGAGGTTTCATCCAACCTCAGCAATTCTATGATTCCAGTTCTTCCCTCAATGCACAGAAGACAGCACCTTATACCATCTCTGCTTCTGTGCAGCACTAGATGGTGCTGTGATTTTGAAGCTGATCTCTCCTGATTACTTGTTTAAGTATCAAAATCATTAAACAAAGTAGAGATACTTCAAAGTAGTATTTATATTAAGAACTCTAATACGTGATCTTCTCGGATCAGGATTTGGCTTTGCACACGTAGAACAGACCTACAGAAAGTTGATTTGGGAATATGAGTCAAGGTGTCTTACCTTTGTTTTTTTTTGCTCTGGGATTACCCCTGGCCTCTGAGTGCAGGGCAGTGCTTCTCTTCAGGAGGGATGCTTAAAAAAAAAAGCTTCATACAGGGCAGTGTCAGAAATGCTACTGCAGGGCACAAGGAAACACCTGAATTTTGGTGTACTTTGCTAATGTCTGCTGAGGCTTTAGCTAAAGTTCTCAGCACGGGGTAAAGGTAGATCATTGTTCTGTTGTTCCAGAAGTCCTTAAGGCTGAGAGTCATTAGGTAATTCATTAGAACACCATAAGGAAATAACATTAGCTGTGCTATCTCTAGTAACAGATCGGAACATTGAGTAGGGTGCGACAGCTAGTTCTCATGAAAGAGAATGCTTCTGACTTATGCTCTTGCTGCTACACCATGGTAATGCTGTTTTTCACATGACCACTCATCTGTGCTGTTGTGATGAGCTCTGTACATACTCACGTCTGTTTTGTCAAACATCCCAGAAGCGGTTCCAAAGAAAACTTACATTAAAGTTACTTGTAAGAAATAGGGGTTGAGTAGACAGAAGAAAAAAGGACATTTTAAGGACTTGAAACACTTGGCATTATCATATTTAACATGTAATTGATAGACAGGAAACTCGATTGACTTTGATATATGCAATAAGAAGCTAACCTTGTACAGTGGGGACTTCCCTGTTGAAGAGGAGAAATTTCAGATGCCATTACTAGCTGATTCTAGGGAATTTTGCACAAAAGTGTTCTATATTACTCATGTACACTGGGGTTTTTTAAGCAGATGTCACAACTGTAAAAAAGAGGTATCATTTTAGTCAATTATTTAGCAAGCAGGGTTTTTTCCCCCTCAGTAATTTCTTCCTAGTACTGGCCAAAACTGACAGTAATAACAAAGCAAGATGAAGGCATATCTGTGCCTTTGTCATGCATTCTCCCACTCCAGACAAGTAGTGTAAACTCTATTGTGTAAACTCAAACTCTGTTATCATGAGGTCTATTTGTTTAATAGTACCAAAGTCCTAAAACCCTAGATTGTGCTGTGATGTGTCATTACACATCACTTTAAAAAAAAAATAAAAATACTTCCAGTTAACAGCACAGCCAAACAGCATCTGAGATTTTTATGTTAAAATACCACCTAATTTTATCTGAAAATTACAGCTTTCAGACAATGAAACTTCACTTCAAGCTCTTATCTGCAACCTACAAGAGGAAAACAGGATGTTAAAACAAAAAGTAGCTCACGTGAGTGCTTTCATTTTGTTACAGATGAATATTTAAGTATTTTGTGTTAAAGTAAATTTGGAATAGATGAGGTCTGGTTAATCTAATTGCATGGCAGTTTTAAAGCAAGACAGTTTTTAGTCCTTGCAACATGGCACACGGTTTTTGTTCCCTTAGATAAGAACAACTTATTACATAATTTTTAGCATACTGCGTTTTTGTCATTAAAAATACAGTGCAGAAGAAAATTTTCACGTTCCTTCCATAGATCAGTATTCACCAACCCCTCCCTTTCCACATTATTTAATACTGTCCCTTTGGGCTGGGAGATGGGAAGGCTGCCCATGAAGGGTCTGCACAATGTACAGTGACTTACCCACCCTCAGGGGCCGAGCCAGCATGTTACATTATCCCCTGGAGAATTTTGGTCCTGCACATATAGGCAGCCTATGAAAGCTTGGATGTTTGTGTCTGCCTGTTCTTCATGGCTCTCCTGGATAAACTTTCAGGTGGAAGATTTAAATGCGAAGTGGCAGAAGTACGATGCCAGTAGGGATGAGTACGTGAAGCGACTCCACTTGCAGCTGAAGGAGATGAAGTCACAGCTGGAGCAGCACCACAGTGGAACTCCAGCACAAAGGAATTCTGACCTGATGCACAAGGAGATATTCCGGTTAAACAAGCTACTGGAAGAAAAAATGAATGAGTGCATAAAAACCAAGAGAGAACTAGAAGACATGAAGAAGGCTAGCGAAGGAGATAATGAGCGCATACAAATGCTGGAGCAACAGGTCATTAAATTTCTTTTTCCTAGATATGGGAATTCCTAGTTTCTTCCCAGACCACTGAAGTACAAGGGGAAACAATGGATTTATTTTTTGGACATTTGCCTGCCTGTCTTTGCACATTTGGCTTTATAGATACTTAACAACACAGATTTAAAGGAAACTTGCTACTTAAAGAACCCCATGCAGTTCTGCTGGCTTTAATACAGAATATGACAGATCTGTAAAATAAATACAAACACCTTTGACTTATGATAGAGAAGATTATACTGAGATTCTGAGAATAAGTAACAAAGGAATCATAGCCTCAGCTTTTCAATCTAACCTGCCAATGCTCTGATTTATAAAATATTAATGTAATAATTCTGTTTCAGGTCCTGGTTTATAAAGATGATTTCACATCTGAGAGATCAGACAGAGAACGAGCACAGAGTAAAATACAAGAACTTCAGGCAGAAGTTTCATGTCTGCAACACCAGCTAGCAAGAAGACAGGTAAGAAAGCAGCATTCTCCTTTTTTAAATTTAAGCATGTCAACAGGATTCGGGACTAAAATGTACTTTTAAATATATTTTAAAAATATTTTAGTATTTTTAAAACACTTTCAGTTCAGTGCAGCTATCAACAGCTTAGATTGTTTCATAGTCAGTTCTGGTGCAGATGCTTGCCAGTTCAGATGTAATACCCCTTTCCAGTCCCTTTCTCTTCTCCTTTTGGATCAGCATAGGAAGGGTGAATTCTTAGAAGGCAGAGGACAGCCATGACTCTTTGCATCTTTAAAGTAGCACACTGGCTGTATTCTGTGTTTTCTACAAACCTTCTTTACAACAATGTGAATGCAAAAACTGATTGATAATTTACAAGTCCTAGATAAATATTTGAGTGGTGTTTCAAATAAAGGTGATAAAATATCACCCATTGAAGAATGTATTTATATTCCATCTTTTTCAAGAGCTCTTCTTTCTCTTTCTAGGACCCAAGAGACACAAGTAGTCATTTCAGAGTTCATGCTGGTAACCAAAATCATTTGTACGTTCAGACAAACGTGGAACATCTACGAGGCAACAGCCCAGGCCAGACAGGCACAAGAAGAACAAACTCACAGTCTGAACAAGCTTCTCCTCCTAGGGACAACACAAACTTGGGATCTGAAGGCAGGGCACAGGGTGAACTCAGATGCCCTCATTGCATGAGGCTTTTCAGTGATGAACTCGGAGATGAATTCCTCAAACATGTTGCTGAATGTTGTCAGTGACCACAGGATGTGAGGGGTGTAAGTCAATCACTACTTTTATAGACATAAAACTTGCTCTATATATATCTCCTACGGTCCTAAAACAGAGTTAATTCAGATGGAGAGCTCTGGGGAATTAGGAGGATGAACAATATCTACCTCTTGCTTGATTTTGCCTTCTCTTGGACTGTGTGAAAGGCTTCAAGAGAAAGCAGAGTGTTTTTCTGAAGAATTATTTTTGACAGCTACAAGGAAGGCAAGTGTAACGCAGATTCTACTACAAACTAAACTGAAACCTATGGTGGTAGTTCAGCTTCAGAGTGCAGCTTGACTTTATTTGGGTCTAATTTTCTACCGCAGTCTGATGGCTTGTGAAAAAAATTACTGAACTTGAAATTTTCCTCCTCTTCCAAAAAATGTAGGCTGGAGAACAGGAAGGAATATTTTGGCAGAAGATAGGAAAAATCTTATTGTGCATTATCTGGATTAAAAGCAAAAATATTTTGTTGACTCATGAGGCTGAACTTTCAGACATCTCATCTGAAAATCCTTCTATTTAACAGAAATCAGAAGAAAACATAAATGGGCTGGTTATTGACTAAAACTAGCCTGCCTTTTTTGCACAGGAAGAAGGTACAGGCATATTTATATTTTCTGTGCCATAAGTATCTGTCTTAGAGATTTGTAAATGTATATTTGTGTAATTATTGATTGTATTCCTATTTGACATAAGGATTATTTTTATAATAAAAGTGACTGTGCATTTGCTTTACTACGTTAGTAAAGGTGTCAAAAATCTCTTGGTCTAAGTATTTAAATGTGAAATAGTAACTATACTAAGGGCTAATTAAATGTCATGGTTTCAGATATGAGTTATTTCATTACTTTAGTGATAACCAGATTCTCAGACTATTTTCAAATATGTTGAAAAAAAAAAATCACTCATCTCTGAGCAGAAGTTTGACATTTCAGAGGCACAGGAACACGTTTAACCCCCTACCCTGTCACACACATGTGACTATGTCAATGCTAAATTTCTTCTTATCCTGTCTGCACTGGAGAGAGCTTCAAAAAATAGCAGGGGACTGTTTCGAAAGGACTTAGTTAGGCAATTAAAGTGTACAAATATAAGAGTGCCACAGGTTTTTGCAGCCCTGGCTCCAGGTGTTTCTCACTGTGTCAGAGCAAGAGCTAAGGATGGGATAGAAACTAAAGGCCTATGCCCTCATGACACTTGATAATTAAAGAAAACTTACTTTCTGTAACAACACTCCTGTCTTCTTCTTTGCTTCATTCCCTGTTCCATGCTTCAAGAGGAATGTGGATATTTTTCTGGATATTTCCTGTTTTAGCTCCAAAGGAAGATGGTGGTTTATGCCACTGTTGTCTTAGGTGGGATATTTCCAAAAGCAGTGCCTGGGCCATTGCATGCAGCAATGGTTACTATTAAGCTAATGTAATTGGATTAATAATAATGTAGTAATGTAGATTAATCTATTATTAATCTACAATGACTGCAGCACTGTGATTCACTACTAGCTGCTTCTTCCCAACACAATATGCACAAACATACAGAAAGTTTTATTTTTTCTTTTTTTTAGTGGCCATTTTTTACATTGCCTTTTAAGGTCTTAGAGATCAGATTCAGCCCAGAGAATATAAGATGAGAAATGTGATTAAACTTCCTGTGGCATAGGCTAATCTTACTTTTTTGACTGTTCTCATTAGACAAGCCTGGTTTACAGCTTCATTGTACATCAATATGATAGTGCCAGTGACTGATACAGCAAAACAGGGAAGGGACTTGATTTTTGTACTGATTCACACTGTAAGACACTTAAGAGCACAAACACAATAATAAAGTAAGTTAGGTCTTGTCAGCACCTTTTTTTTAATTGCATTGAGATAATGACTGCTTTAATATAGATCAGAAGCTGAAGTCTGCTGTAGGTTTCCATTTATATTAATCCCTGTAGGTATAGTTGTAAAGAATGACCTACAAAAAGAAATAATAATTTCCAATAAGAAATAGATGGAGGAATTAGAAGAATACACAGTACACAAAAATTAATAGCACCTATTCTTGTGAATTTTAATTCTGTGAATTAGTCCCTAGTCTAAGCAGAAGTTAGTTTCACACTAATCCTAGAAAAGGAGAGCACTTCAGTGCTGGGGAACTGGCAAGGACAACACTGGACTAACAAACAAAAACAGGTGTAGTTACAGATCAAGCACAGATTAGAGCTACCACATAAATCAATAAGTGCAATAGATGAGGACTGGCATTTGACTACCTGTGGCATAAATGTAGGACAGATCTGCTGGTTTTCTGTACAGAAATGCCTCTCCTGAGAGCTGTGTGACTTCACTGAGGTTTTGGGGTTTTTTTCCCCTCAGCTGAAAAAGCATGATTGTTTCTTGTTCTGGCCTAGCCAAGAAATGCTACACTATGAAGAACTTACATACAAACATTTGTTTCAGATGATGGGCCATAAACTATTGCTCCTAAGAAAAGTTGTCTGTTATGCAGTGCTTTGGCTTTCACACCAAATTCACTGGTAGGTCTCTTGATAAAACACTACAAAATCTTTACCTGCCCCCTCCTCACCAGGCAAAGCACACACACCAAGGCACCCCCAGCAACTGCCAGCACCCCCTACCTTCACAAGTCACATTTCTCAGCTTGTACACCAGAATGCATAAAACCTGTCAGCTCTGCTACTGCAACACTGAAGTGAAAGGCTGTGAGTTTCCAGAATTTCTGAACCCTTTAAATTAAGAAAAGCTCCTTCTGGCCTTGCACTCGTGGTCTCTCCTTGTTGGATGGTTCTCCAAACAGAGGGTCCTGCTTGGTTGAATAGCAACAGCAACCCAGCTCCTTTCCTAAAAGAAAGCAATAAAGGCATAATGAGTAAGAAAGTAACTGCATGCAGTGAAAGGAACTTTAGTAGCATAAACTTTGTGAACTTTCATTATCCATTTGTACTACACTCGTTCACTGAAACACACATCATCTGTAAAACTGCAGAAAGATATCCTCACACAAGAGACCTGAAATCATACAGAAAACCTGCCTGACTGTATGGATGGGGCTCAGTTCCTTATTTGCTGTATTGGTAACAAAAGGCATCCAAGAGAGATGAACCCTGTTTTCAGGCAAAGTTAATGCCTGTTCAGGCTTCTGTAGATCTCTCATTCAGGTGAGCGCTGCCTGTTCTGCAGTGGCATGCCAATACCAGACAGAAGGCAGACAGAGACACTGCAGTTCCACAGAGGCTGAGAGCAGGCCTCTTCTGGGAGCTGTAGGAATGTATCTTAACATATTAAAAGCTGCCAAGGTGGATTTTTCCAATTAGCTTCATGATTAGTCCCTTCTCTTAAAATTTCTCCTTCAAATGACTGTTCCTCAGTTTTGCTGTCCAAACCAACCTGAGTCCAGACCCAGGGCAACTCAGCTCCTGAGGATCTGTCTCACTTCACCAGCAATGAGATTTTCAGACTGTATAATCTCCAGCTGTTGGCAAGCTTGCTCTCATTTCTCCTGGACCTAATTATAATGCACTTTACTCGAAATTTTAAAGTAAAGTCTGTTTACAAATAACCATGCTGGTTGCCATGCAGAAGCGGGCCCTTCGCACACAATCACGACAGCAGCTGGTAGAAAATACAAATGCAAGAAGCCTCAGAAGCTTTTGGTCCCTACCCCAAAAGCCCCATGGGAGAAAGGATCAACAATAATGCTCGTTCCTGTAGCATGGGCAGTACAGAGCCTAAAAGGTTTCTCAAATAACGTGCAGCTTCTAAGTCAATGTCTGCTTTGGGCTTCAATGATTTAGGATGTCAGTTTATCTTTGAAAATAAACCTTAAATGATGCCTCAAGATAAGGTGCTCACTAATAATAAAACAATCTACAAGAATAAAATTGGTTCAAGAAGCAGATACCTATGCTCTATGCTTTTTTTTTTAAACTTCCATTTCCTGTGGCTTTGCTGCATGTGTATATATAGAAAGCAAGGGAAATTCCAAACAAGATGCCACACCATTACACTCAGAACAGCAGTGCTTCTCGTTCTAAAAAAGGGAAGTCTCAAATGCTTTTTCTACAAAATCTATGTGAATTCAAATTATGCTGTAGTAATATTTCATAGTACCATGCTCCAGCAGCTATCAGCTGGGACACAGAGGCTGTTTCAGCTAAAAACCTACAGCATAAGAAATACTTACGAAGGACTAGGTCAGCCCTGCAGGACCTCAGCAGAAAATGGGATATAAGGCTAAGCACTCCTGCCTTTCTACCTGATGCCTCACATTCTTCTCTGAGGGCAGAGCACAGCCCAGCACCCTCACAGGAGCATCCTCTGAAGCAGCCTGTCCTGGGGGTCAGGGCTCCAGCAAGGTCAGCTGGGGATTTACAGAGTGCTGCAGGAACTGCTTACACAGGAGCTCCTGGAAGCACCAACCATCCCAAGAGGCACAGTGCATTATTCCCCTTTCTCATTAGTCCACTTCTTACCCCTCCTTTTACACTTGCTGGTAAGAAGCTATTGGTGCAGGAACACTCCACAAAATATGAAGGTGTATGGTGTCGACAGGGGCCAACAGCCTCCTTCAGGAACAAATCAGGTGGGGGTTAAGAGACAGCTGATGTCAAATGGATGGTTTTGGTGCCTTCTAGAAGTGTGTACATAATCACACTCATTGCTTCACCACCCTTCCCCAGAGCAACCCTGCAGCACATCTGGAGAGCTGTCTGATGGCTGGGCCGAGCTGGCTGCTCATGCTGACCCCCACCTCCTCAGGGCCACAGGAACTCACCTTGCCTGAGGCTTTCACCCTCTCATTTCCCAAGGAGTGGAAGTGAGGAAAGAGCAGTGGGAGCCCCCTCCCCCATCCTGCACTTACCAAATCTCTTTATCAAATCTGTCTTCATATAAAAAGCATTTTAATTATTTTTTTTACCTCATAGGCAGATACCTTGGTTACACACAAATATCACAGGCCATTTATACAGGTGGGGCACCAGGCAGCCTGGTGTGTGCCCCACCAGCTCTTGGGCCAGCACTGGAACACCCCATGCCTCTCTTAGCTTCTTGGTTCCTGCTGCAACCAGGCTTCCTTCAGCCATGTCCCAAAATTCCCCTGCACAGCCCAAAATGGCACATCTGAAGAGAACAGTGACTTTCTCAGCTCCACAACAGTCTGGACTTGGGCAATACCCAGTTACCTTCTCTGCTGAGACAATACCCTACACCATGGGAACAGTGCAGAGCAAGGTGATGAGCTGTCATCTCCCTCCAGCTGTGCCCCCACAGCCCTCCCTGGGCAGTGCCAGCTGCAATTTCAACCAGCCAGCCACCTGCACCCAGCACCTGGGCCCTGGGCTGGGAGGAGAGCCACAGGCACACAGAACAGCTCTGGGAGCAGCCCCACAGTGGCTGGTCCCACTCACAAAGCCCTGTTTGTTTCCTGCCCAGTGCAAAGCAGGAAGGAGGTCTCATGCTACAACAGGGCAGGGACTCTTTCAGGACTCACAGGTGAGGAGGTGAGAGAAGCTCAGATCTTGGACTAATTGAGCCCAGCTCATACAACAGGGAAAATGAGCAAAGAAAGGAGCTCAGACACCCATAGAAGAATCAGCCCTCATTCTATCACTACCACATCCCAGGGAAATTCAGACCTCCAGAGAGGCATGCAAAGGTCCACACACATTCGAGGAAAAAACATCACCTACCAAGAGAAAGCAGGACCTGGTGGGATGTAAAGTGACTCATGCACACACAGCAGAGCACAGTCTAATAGAGCATCTTACTCCTCTTTCCTACCACCTGAGCTTGCCCTCAGTGATGCAAATCTAATTTAGTGATTC